CCAAACGCGGAAGCGGCAGCTCCAAACGTGACGGCGGCACTCCAAACGACGGCGGCAGCTCCAAATGGCAGAGGCAGCTCCAAATGGCGGCGGTGGCTCCAAACGGCAGAGGCAGCTCCAAACGGCAGAGGCAGCTCCAACGGCACTCCAAACGGCGGTGGTAGCTCCAACGGCACTCCAAATGGTAAGTCCCCCCACCCTTCCCCCTATTTTGCATGTTTTAAACTAGGCCTAAATTTGGGGGGAGGGGCTTAATTTGATTTTATGCCTAGAAAACATGCTGGGTCTTCCTATTGGTGGAGGCCGTATTGTTGGAGAAACACGGTATATATATATATAAACAATAATAAATAAAATACTTATTCTATTCCAATTCAGCTCTATCATTAATGTTAGTTATAATCTTTGACATTTCTTTTCAATAGGGTATCATACTTCTAGGAACACTTATAATATTTCCATAATTTTTTCATGTTTCTTTCATATTCATCTTCACTTAAATTTTTATAACACATTTATAATAATTAAAATACTCCCCTCCTTTCCTAATTTCATTCCCTCATTCTCTTTACTTCATTTATTTATTAAACATTCCATTACATTACAATGAGTATTTTATCTATCATTTTAATCACACTTGTTTCATATTTTCAAAGTTCATTTCTATTTCTAATATAACAATACTATCTTATGTACCCTTGCAGAATACCCCTTTCAATTAAGTTTTCACCCATTATCTCAGTGTCTTCTAAATAGGCTTATACCCTTAATCCTTGTACGTTTTCCCTGTTTCTCTATGTCCTGTTTCTGTCCTTTATAATTTTTTTTCCTTTTCCTCTTCCCCCTCTTCTTCTCCCTTCCCTTTTTGACCCCTTCTCTCTCTAATTCTGATTCTCTCTTCTGTAATCCTCTCTTCTGTTTCTTCCTAATGTTATAATTACTTTTCAAACTATTCCTTTTTTGGGTTGTTTTTTCAAATCTTAAATTCTTCACTCTCCCCCCTTTCCTTTCTTTTCCCCACATAGAAATACTTGGTCATTGAAGATGGCTTCTTCTTTGTCCCGCCCTTCCTGTTCTACAGGCATTTCTTGT